TATATTTATATTCTGTATATATATATTTATATATATATATTTATATATCCTATTTACACGTATTGCACACGGTCCTCTGGCCTCCTGCATTCCTGCCTGTTAGTGGAAACGTTTCCGTTTCTCCTCTGGATCTGACCCGAAGTCCCGGGACCCGATGCCATTCTGAAGATTTATTAGCGAATCCTTCATCTGCAAGACAAGAAATTTTTCCACTGTGATGCTACCCTAGAGGTGAGAGCGCTTCGGGATTTCCTTCCCCTATCGGTGCCTCCTTCTTCCATGTAAAGTATCGATACCATAATCATCTGGTTTTTGGGAGCGGCATGTCAGGGCTGGGATGTACAAATGGGGACTGAGAAGACAGGATCCCGTGGGAGACCACTCTCCAAGATAACAGAGGAGGGGCGAGAATGAGGAGGGATAACAGAGGGCGATAACGAGGGGCGATAACAGAGGAGGGAGAGAACGAGGTATGGGGTGAGCAGCGCTCTCCGTAGGGGAGAGCAAGCTTTCATTTATGAGCTCTGGTCTAAGCAGCCTGGTGTACAACCGGCTCTTTAGGCAGCGGATACCGAAACCCCTGGCTTTGTGCTATTAAGGGCCCACGCAGAGTGCGTCCCCTTCATCCATGGGATGCCAGAGACTAGATATAAGATGTGCTAATATAAGGTTTTTGGCCCTGTAGAATTCTCTTTGACACGCATGGACACCTATGAGGTGACAGAGAAGCTGCAGTATCCTGCGAATAGCCCTTGGGACCTGCTGCCCACCGCTACGTCAGAAGATGGATCTAAAGGGAGATGGTAGCAGAGGTGACGCACCTGATTGATAGACTACAGTGGAACCAGGTAAGGCTGAAGGGATTGTGAGCGGGTGGCTGGGAGGACACGGTGACCCTCTCTAGTCACAGCGCCAACTGGCCGTGCGGTCTCACCTGGTCTAGAAGCATCACCGAGGATTTGATGATCTCACGCCATTTTTGTAGCTCTGAGTCATGATACTTCTGCTGAGATTCTAGTAACTGGGCCCATTCTGTCTGAGATTGGGGTAACCTGTCAGGCAGAATACGAGCAAGAATGAATCTAGGGAAACTGAAGTCAAGGGGAACAAAGTGGATTGGGGACATGTGGATTGTATCAGTTTCTGCCTAAGCTTTTCACCCTAAAGGGGCAGGTTTCCTTGAGCAAAAGTGCATTTAAATCTGCTTAGTATTTTCCTAAATTGGATACCAATGTTACTCTGTCTTAATTCATTACCATGGTTAATTAATAGCAATGATGTGCCTTTTGCAGAAGTTGCTGTAGTGTGGGTGGAACCCAAGGCCCATTGGACAGAAGGCAGTGTGCTCTCATTGCCTGGGACACGTGTGTACTGAAAGATGGCACTGTGGCCGTTGATGGGGAATAACGCAAGGCAGCGTAATGATGTGGGACAGGTAGCCCCGTACAGTTTCTGTGTTTTGTTTTTTGAGACATGCTGTGTCAGTCTTTATTTAATACAAGGCTTTCTCTTTATTACGAGTAATAGCAGCACTGGCTCTCTTTTTAATGGCAGGTAAGTGTAGGTATCAAGCCCTTCCCTTCAAGCCCAATTAATCCTCCAGAACAGGGCTGGAGGCTGCTGAGTGGAGCAGGATCAGGGCAGATGCAAGCACTCAGGGCACTGACGGGAGGACCACCAGGACTGGCTGCCCAAAGCTGCCACTGAGGGCCACGTGATGGGCCTCGGGTGGGAGGTGCAGCTTGGCTGAGCCAAGGTGAGGATAAATCTCAGTTGAGCAGAGCGACGTAAGGAGCGTAGCGACGAGGAGCGGAGTCAAGGCAGTTAGCGCGGCAGCAGGAAGGCGCAGCAGTGGCAGCACCCATTTCTCCTGAGAGGTATGGCCCTTTACTTTTGCGTGCTGCTTTCTAACATAGCTAAAAGTCTGCCCTACTTTGTCTTCTGCTTACCTCTTTGGGCTTTGCTGCTTTCTAACACAGCTGAATCCCTCCTCTTAGGTTACAGTAGAGATTTTCAAGCCTCCTTTATGAAGTCCCCGTGTCAGTCAGAGCTCAGCTGCAGCTAGAACTCACTTCTTGGGTAAGTTCCTCCTTTCTCCCTGGCAATATAATGTAATAGTCTAACTTGTTCCACTCTTACCTTAGCCAACGGGCAGAGTGGGGTGCTGCTGCCACGCTAACTGCCTTGACTCCGCTCCTTGCGTCGCCCTGCTCGACTGAGATTTATCCTCGCCTTGGCCCAGCCAAGCTGCACCTCCTGCCTGAGGCCCGTCACATGGCCCTGAGTGGCAGCTCTGGGCAGCCGGTCCTCCTGTCAGCGCCTTGAGTGCTTGCATCTGCCCTGCTCAGCCGGCTCCAGACCTGGAGATAAAACAAAGAAATGTTAATTAAGCATGACAATAAAAAACCAACACAAGTAAGAAAATGGACCCGCTCCCCATGGTCAATAATCCTTGTCTCTAATAAGTAACACGCTGCTCCTAATAAAGACTGCTTTCCTTGCCCGAGTGGAGAGGCTACATACTTGGGATTGGTACACTTAGTTTGGGGAACTGCTGACTGCCCCTGCCCGCAGAGAACTTAAGTCTCAGTAGAACCAGATATGGGGAAAAAAAGAAGTCTTTGGAGCCTCAAACAGAATGCTTCTGAGCACACCTGGCCATTGACCCAGCAGATGGGTTCGGTCTAACTCCACAGCAATCACAGTTGCAACCCAATGAAGTTACCCTGTGCAGGGGCGGGGGGGAATAGAGCTACCCGTGTAATTAATTCCAGTACATGCACATTTACAAGGAGCACACAAACAGCATGTATGTCAGTCCTATGCTTAAATACTATAATGTGGTGGTCCGAATAAATACCAAGAGTGCCAGAGGAAGATAAAGCAGGCAAAATCACTTACTTAAAGTATCTATCCATGGGAAAGTAGCAGGGCTATTATGGGGAAAATAATAATTCCCTTCCCTAATGAGGAGAAATGAGAAAGCCCATAACATGAGCCAAATCATGCAAAAAAGTCAGTAGCAAATGGCTATGGTTGCTTAAAGTCAAACCCAACTTAGCAAGGGAATTAAGTGTGACCGCACAAAAGAACAGCCAGAAAGGGGGACATAAGGGGACAAAAACACCTTGGCAAAGTGGACTCGGGATGTTCTCAACCTCTGAAAATAGAGAAGAGACTATTCAGGCAGGATGCTTAGCGCTTACGTATGTAAAAAAAGCATTCACCTGAAAATGCCAGAAGGCATTCAAAACAATATTGCTGGCTATCATTATAAACAAACAACTATGGGACATCAGGTCACCACTGTAAATGCCACCTACAAAAAGGTGCTCTGGAGCACATCCTGGGAAACGCAGACTGGCAGGTCCGCCTTTGGCCCTAGACAAGATGGGGGAGTCTGTATAATAAAGACCGATCCCAACAATCAATTCAGTCTGGTTGGAGGCTTTCGGCGTGCTTTCTGCAAAAGGAAATGGGGAAATGCTGCCATACAGACTAGAGCTCTACCCATCTCAGCACAGACCAAGTGGACACTATACTGAAACAGGACGTCCAAAAAACCCTTGGACAAGGTTCCACGCTACCAATTATTAAAGAAACTAAGTCAATCTGCAATCACACTTCACTGCTTACTATCTAGTACTGCCAGGGAACACTTTGGTCGTTAAGGAGCGCCCTGTGTCCTCCTAGTGATCTCTCTCTTCCTCCCACGCTCTAACAACTTGCTGATATCTGGACTCACACCTTTCAAAACACTTCTTTATCTAACAGTTGATTGTGTGTCACAGGCCCAAATTCTCCTCTGAGCACAAAGGGTTCTTTCTAAGACACTGCTTTTCATACCGAGGGAAGTTCAGCCATCAAAGGAGGGGAGGTGACAACCTTGGCTCACGATTGCAAAATATACATTCGTACAGCATCTTCCGTTACATGGGATGCTGGGAAGAAGCAGAGGTTGCCTTAACTTGCTGTCTTCTGCTGCAACTGTTCAGCAGTTTCAGACCTGGGAATGCTGATGGCCCCACAGCTTCAGCTAACTACCTGCCTTCATCTGTTTTACACAAAAAGGAAGCAATCTACAAGAAAGCCCAGGGCTTTGGCATTCTGGGAAAGCCTCTAACCACCACAGGAAACACGCAAGAAGAGGCAAAGACAAAGCAGGTGTGACAGTACCTTTCCTGGAGCCGCAAGCCCTGCCATGCCGTGAGTGTCTGCGTAGTATATTCTAACATCCAGAGTTTGTAGAACAGCATCATATTGAGAATGACCAGCAGCACCAGACTGGAAAGAAAGAAAACAGTCAGTTTACTAGGAGCACCTCATAGCCCATTGCCTGCCAATCACACCTGGGAAAACTCCCACGGCTTTAAGAAGGTGTCTGGGGCCCAGGTCCACGCTGTATGTGAGTGGAAATTTAATCTGAGTAAGGGCCAGGTGATCAGAACCCAAAACTTCACCTCATGGGAGAAATGTGTGAGCCAGGAGGATGGACAGACAGAAAGACAGGGATGACGGATCAGACAGAACAGGTTGGATGAGTGGATGTGCTGAATGCAGAGAAAGGGAGGGAAACGGGAGAGTAAAGAGGTAAAAAAAAGAGAGAGACAGTACCTGAAACAGATCCTAATGGGAGCAGGGAAGAGAAAAGACGGAGTAGCTGCAGGTTAGAAACAGACTGACAAGGAACAGGAGAAAGTGGGCTGAGCGGAGAAGGCTCATAGACAGTGCAGAAGATACATGGGGGCGGGAGGAGGGAAGAAAGGAACGGTGGGAAGAGAGGCAACAAGGACAGACAAATAACCGTGTGCCTGCAATTAATGGTGAAATTTGCTCAGCAAAAGATAAGCTGTGTGCAGCTCTTGCAGACAAGCCCAACGCACGCCTATGCAGGGCACTGTCTGACACGTAAATGCATGTTGCAGCCCGCATGCATCCAGCCTTCGCCCGCTCCTACCGCACCCGGCGATGGGAACACCACCGCAGGCCACCCTGCAAAACCGGTGCTTTGACCAGATACTGTACCGCTCCTCTCACCCCCCCACCGCCGCGCATGGGCATTTCCCCTCCTCCCGTCAGCCACACTCAGGGAATAGATTCCAAAATAACATGCTCGTGCCTGTCTCTGAATGGCGCAGCTATTTTGCTGGAAGAATGGCCCACTATCGCCCAATTCAGTCAGGCGGACGGCAACTGGCCAGAAGAGTATTCTGAAAACATGGAGGGCGCTCTGACCACTCTACGCTAAGCTAGTAGCCTGTCAGGAGAGATTGTCGTAAAGTTTTTGTGCCTTCCTACCCAAAGTTTAAATTGCATCTCACCTGTCTAGATGCAGAAGATAGCACGAGTCTATCTTCTCATCATTACATTACCTGACTTATCATTACAGCAGCTAGCTGGGGTGCTGCTGCAAACCTCTGCGGTCTTTATCCCCACTGGGAAAAGGAAACGCAGAAAGGAGCTCAATTTGAAAAGTAACCTCAGTCTACAAATCTCAGCTTCTTCCCACCTCACTAAAAGGTGGGTGGAGCTTAAGAAAAGAAAGAGCCCAAGTTCTGCTGTTCCTCCGGGGTTAACAGTATGCTTCCATTTCCCTAAGTGCTGAAAAAACCCGCCATCTCTGGACTGCTCCTTCAGACTGTAGCGCTTCACAGCACCTGCCCAGCAACCTCTGCAGCACTAACACACGAAAGCTACCGTCAGCCCAAGAGGCAGGGAAACAGTAAATATGCCGGGGTTTAGGCTTAAAGACTGAGTGAGCCACAGGGATACGAGAGGCCCATACCCAGCTCACTTTGAGCGCACATCCAGCCAAGTCCAAGACTAGCAACTGTGAAAGGTGGTGGCAGAAAAGGGACCCAAACCAAACGTCCTTCCTGCTGCTGAACTAGCGAAATCATGCCACTCTCTCCTGCTTCATGTGTTTCTACCCTTATTTTGCAGAAATCATCGCTAAATGGTCCAGCTTCTTTCTGAGATGGCATCTCTCGTCAAAATCGCCGCCCAGGACCAGAGACGAATAGGTTTTGCCAGACCAGAGGAAAGAAGTAACGGACTCCTCACATACACTGAGCCCTGTTGTGATAGCACAGTAACTCCCAGAGAGCTTTGCATGGTCATCTTTCATGATAACAGCTAGTTTGTCTGCAGATTACATTAAATGACTTATTAAAAAAACCCCACAGTTTCTAGATGTCATTGAAAATCTCTAAACTGAGTCCCCGAAATAAAAAAGACTCTTTCTGCTTGTTGGATTTCTTCTCTTTTAAGTATTAACTCCCCTCTCCTTGCACAGCTGCCCCTCGCCCTGCTTGCCACTATCAGCATTGCCTGTCCCCCGCACAGTATAGCTGACCTCCATTTAGGACTCCCAGAAACATGCAGGTCTGTGAAGCCCACGTTTCGTTAAAACAAGGTCAAAACTGAAGGGAAAGGAGAGACTTTGATAAAATAAGATCCAGAACCTACAGAGCCAGATCAGTGGCCAGCTAAGTACTGGCAAAAGCTGGGATCAAGCCAGACAAAACAGCTGCTGGGGCATTTGGAGGAAATTTTAATTAATTCTTTTCTGCCTGCCATTGCTTTTCTCTCCTCTGTGCTGCACAAAGTTTGGGACCAGAGAGGAATATGAGAGAGAAAAAACTGGCACAGGGGAGCACAGGATGCCAGAAGCACGAAAGGGCCAAAGTTGTTTAAAGGCTGACTGTGAAGGAAAGCAAAAAAATCACTTACACAAAACTGATGACAAGGAGCAGCTTGGAGACACTCTGCAGGTGGAAGCCGCTGGGGCTCTCCTCAGGGATGTGCCGTGTCTGAGTGGAACCTGAGGAGACAGATGCGTTTAGGCTAGGAAATACTGTCTGATGGGGAGGGCAGCCCTTTTCCCTCTGCCCACCCCTCCATCTCACTCAAACAATCATAATGCATCCTCCCTGCCCTGGAAAGCCCTGGCCACTCTTCCCATTAACCCTCCGCGAGCAAAGCTCCAGTTTTTCTCCCGGGGTACCCAGCTCTCCATCCCCAAGCATGAGGGGTCTGCAGTTCCTTACCTGCCACATGCTTGATTCGATGTGCAACCTCCTCATCCGTGGGGGTGGTGACGGGACTCAGCACCTCCTCCAAGTGCGGCACCCGCAGATGGGCATGGGCCCGTTTCCTCCGGCGCACGGTCGATTGCTTGCTCACTTTCTCTTTGGGGGATTGTCTGTGGACCTCAGCCAGGTACGTGCTCTCGGTTTTGGTCAGTTCGCTCTCTGCAGAGACAGCAAGGGAAAGCATTTAGTAGAAGTGGCACTGGCCTTGCAGAGATACAGACTTAAGCCCTCTAATGGCACAGCTGCTGGGCCAAAGAAGTTGGCAGGGTCTAAGAGATCCATGCCAGAGGACACACTACACATCCCTTAACACCTTTTGCCAAACTCTGACCCCAGACTGCCTGCGCTCCTGCCTGAGAGCAGGATTTGATGACCTGATTAATTCCAGCACGTGCTACCAACGCTGTGGTAATAACTTTGGCTGGTGCCTTTCATAAGCCACCCCGAGGTCTGATCCCCAGTAGGCTGGCAGCAGGTGTCACACCGTCACGCTGCCCGCGTGCAGGGAGGCATGCATAAACTATGGAAGGTGCCACTGTCTGTGGGTCATTACCGCAGCTCCAGTCATTGCCACTCTTACCCAAATGACGGAAATAATCTTCTAGGCCACTCCAAAAATTCTTCTCAATGAAGGATTTCACCAGCCCCCAAGGCTGTTTCCTGTAACGTAGCTCTGTGGAAACCCTATGTGAAGAAAGGAAAGTTATTCTCCCAATTTTGCTTCCTGGAGGCAATGTCAATTCACAATCCTTTGTCAATGTAAGTATGAGAAATAATCATGCACACTGTTATTTCTGGAATGGTCTCAGCCCTTCGTGTTTCTCGAGGAGAAGCATTGCATGAAAAGTCCTTCCAAAGGCCGTGGCAGGAAGGCCTCAAGAGAGCCTCCCCCGAGAGGACTCCCGAGACCTTCGGCCATGTGGCAGGCAGACATTTCGATTACTTATCAAAGTCAAACACAAAAGCCTTAGCTTTGCCTGGTACCAAATTCCTCTGCTTGTCCCCCCAGGCGCATCTCAGAGGTACCAGTCCCTGGAAGTACGTCCTGTTGCTTATCACGCGTAGTTGACTGTGTGTGACAAGCGGCCCTGCAAACCACTGCTTCCACGAAGGGGGCAGGAAAAGTCTGTAAATCCTCTCCCTGACCCAGCTGTAACTCCTCTGCATCAGGTCTATTGTTTGCTCGATGTCACCACAGTAGGCAGCTGCCCCTACGGTAACTCTTCGCGACAGGAGTGTTCTGGCAACGGGACAAAGAAATAAGGCTAAGTTCTCCCCAACCCCTTCTAACACACCAAACAGCAGAACTCCCACCCAAAGGTGACTTTTGGTCGTCAGTAAAGCCCTTTATCCCATAAGAAGTGTACCTGAGTCGGCTTTTGTTTCTGGCAACACGAGTCAACGTGTAGCGGTTAATGGTGTAGAAATAATCATGGTAGGGGACGTCGTGAGTTAGCACCTCTGCATCTATGACATAGCACTCGCTTTCTTGGCTGGCTTTGTACATTGTCTGCATAAAAGACAGCATGCAAGGCAACTATTAGTCTGGTTAGGACATGGCTTTGATAGATTGGCGCCTTCACTAGCACTTTACAAAAACAGCTCTACCACAAATAGGAGACCACGCCCATGCCCAAGCCCCATCTCTGCCATTTTTCCATGAACAGCTCACCTTTAAGGGAAGGCATACTCGAGGAAACCAAGTGTTTCACTCAGGTGTTTCCCAAGGGCGTATTTCAAAAGGGGCATTCAGTTCCAGCAGCTCCACCTCCAGCATTTTCTATCAGAGACACAGTTACATACACTGCCACGTGAGGACCAGTGGCAGCGGGACCTTTGCAAGTGTCACCTCTTCTCATTAAACTGATGTCTGGCTTGTCAGGGAGCAACTTGATCTAAAATCAGAGGTGGCCCTGCTTTGAGCAGAGGTCCTTTCTAGCGTAAATTATTCTGCGATTCTAAACGGCATAAAAACGTGTCAATTACTTCTTCTGAAGTAATGCTTCTGATCTGCTTCTTTCTTTGCCCCAGAACAAACCTCACAAAGGGGACAGACACAGTTAACTGCAGATCCATATGCAAAAGTATTGCTTTTCTTACAGACTATGTCCACTTACCTCTGCAGCAAGAACACAGCAAAGCGCACCTCAGTGGTTGACCCCAAACTCAGAATAAAATAGGCCATGTCCTTGCTTGCCTGAAAGTGTACTGTTCCCTTCGCCCATCGCTTTGCTCTCCCCTTTTCTTTCTCTATCTTCCCTGCACGCAGTCTTTGCTTCTGAACAGCACGCTTTGTCCCATCCTTACAAGGTATACCTTGCCGCTGGGATTCTCCTCTCCCTGAAACATAATGCTCAGACACCCCATCTTTCCTTGGCTCCCTCTTAGTGTTCCCTCAAGCTGACTCTCAGTATCTACCTTTGGCCACTCGAACCTATCTCTGGACATGGAAGGAGGCTTTTCCTCCCTCTCTAGCTGCAGCCCCTACTAGATACAGCTAGCCTGGCTCTTCCCAGTGCATTGCAGATGCTCCCCTTTTTTACCTTTTTAAAGAGGTCATAATGTAATTGTCCTCACCAGTAATAAAAAAGCCTGGACATCTCTATGTAGAGCTGTGAGAAGGACTGGCCAGACAGTATCTGACTTTCTTGTGCCCTGCTCATAAATAACATCTGCCAGAGTGACCGCAGCTCAAAAAACACCAGTACGGGTGACAAACACAGTTGTTACAATGTGCTGGCTGGTTTACAAACTCATCTGCTTTTGCTGGAAAATTTATAGTCCTTTCCTTGCAATGCAATCCAGTGCGAGTGTAAGATTAGCTATTCACATTTGCAGTGATACTGGGTAGCAAGTTAATACAAGAAAAATGTGTAAAGGAAAATGGATAGGGACAATGAAAACATGCAAAGCAGCATGCCCAAGACAAGAAAATAAATCACAGATCTGTTTCTGCAAAGCATTACACCCCTGCTCGCCTTTCACATACCTGCGTCTCAGTGACAGTGGCAGTTTTGGGGGCCAGAGGGTTGGTGAGGGTGATGGTATACAAGATCACTCTGGTCTGATTGCCATTTTCTTCCTTCTTCCAGGGATGAAAGATAATATCTGAGAGGACAAAACAAGATCCCATTCAAGTAATTGGAGAGGGACCTCGGGTCAGTTCCCTAGAGAAAGGCGCAACCATATAACCAAGCTCAGGACAGTATTTCCTCCCCCTTGCAGAGCTTGGCTGCAGAAGTACTACAGCTCAACTGCGCGTGAAAGAAAGGTCTCCTGTACTAACTGTGAATACTTTCCCCTCTTTCAAGTGCAGAGAAAGGGGGAGAGGCCGGGGACATATCTCCTTCAGCAAACCTACAGTTACAGGGAAAGGAGGACTACAGCATGCCAAGGGACACGCTCTTTGCATCGTCAACTGCACAGTCCGTGCCAGTGCCTGGTGTGGAGCTAGAAGAGCTTTTTCCTCACCCTGTTAAGCCTTGAACACAGGATCAGGCCTTAGCCGATGTTAAAAAAGTAAGAGTCTGCTTCTTCCATAAACTTAGATCCAGCTCTTAGAAAAATAAAACTACATAGCCAAACAAGGCTGGTTCTACCTCCTTTTGATTACTGTCAGTACAGACTACAGCTGTCCCAAGATCTGCTCAGAATATTACCCAATCCCTCTATCATCAGGCAAAGTTACACCTCCAAGGCATGTGCCGAGACCTTCCTTCTGTACAGGCCTCTGTACCTCACAGGGAATGCAGCCTCCGTCAGGGACTGGGCTTTGCCACCAGCAGCTTACCAGAGAACCGGCGCTGTTCCATGAAGTCCCTCTGGAACTGGGAGTCCGTGAAAAGCAAGTCGTACAGTTTGTCCACGCTGAAGTTGAACACTTCATTCACATACTGACGGCCGTTCAGATCCTCGTAAAAGGCTTGGACTTCCCCTGTGGGGAAACAGGCCCGCAAGCCCCAGCCATGATCCTCCGTGCCAATATCAGAGGCCGTGCTTTCACAGCACCAGAACCTTAGTATTTTACTTTGTGAAGAAGGAACCCAAAGAAGGTACTTCTAACCCTTTTCCTCCACTGATCCCAGGACAATAGTTGGAACGTCAGAAGAGGTAATGAACTACATGGGTTATTTTAGGGACATCCTTCCAAATACCCCACACGTTCGCCCTCTGCGGCCCAGGATGGGAACTCTTTGCATCTTCTGAACTCTTAGGGTCCAGAAAAGGAATTCAGTGTTTGCCACTCCAGTCCCTCACTGGAAAGGATGGGAGAAGGCTGAAAACAACACCGATGGAACGGCCCTTCCCCGCATACCTTCATCATGGGTCTCTGACGAGTCACTGAGCTCAGTGGGAATGTCTTCGTTGTCATTGAAGTCTAGGGAAGGGGAGTTCACGGGGCCGATGATCTCTATCTTCTCTCCCATGATACTTGCAATGCCAAGGTCTTTTTCCACAGGACTCTCCGCCACTGCCTCCTCCTCTTCTGGTAGCACTCCATCAAACTGCAGCAAGGAGAAAGCATAATGAGGGCAAGGATCAGCACCTGGAAATTGGGGGTTATTTCTGAAAACTTTACATCTGTGGGCCAATTTTCATACCTTTGAACATTTGGCCTCGACATGTCTGGAAATTAAATAATATAGAGAGGAGGAAGGTTACCATACGGTGTTTGTAAAACACATGGACATATTAGATCATGACATACACAAGGCTTTTTGTTTGTTCAGACAAGCACACAAACAATACTGGTTTTGCCCCTGAGTAAGCCCTATACAGCTAGGAAAATCTGAGGTTGTATCTAAACAAGGTCTGTTCTGCCGTAATACTGTGAGGGCACACACTGTTTCCTAGGGAATAACTGAAGGCAGAGAAGAAATTATAACCCTTTTATCTCCAACACTCCATTTCCTTTCATCTGAAAGTATAGAAAGGAAAATGCCCTTGCTGCTGAGAGTCCCAGTTTACCAGCTTTTAGGACAGCTACGCTTTGCTCACTTTTTCTTGGCTGAATGCCATGCTCACAGATATCACTGACTCAAGGACTGTGGTCAGCTGCAGTGGAAGAGGAGCTGCAGGGTAAACGGTCACCTCGTACATTCAAGGACTACCAGCTGGATCCCAGAGAAGAGGATTACTGCTCCCACTGCAACAGAGGAAAAACACTTACCGAGGCTGGTGCTTCACTGCTTCCCGTAGATGTCAATGTGCTCGCAGTGACAGATTTCTTTGGCAGCTGAGGGCTAGCTTCTGGCTTGGCCTCCATGCTGCTTTTTGAGGAGCTGTCGTTGACTTCATTCTCTTCCACGGGGATTTCTTCACAGTAGCTGAGACGCCACAGAGAACACAGGTTTTTATGTTTACCCCTCTCAGTACAGCTACAACTGGACACACAGAGCAAGTAAGAATACTTTTATGAAGTTTCCAGTCTGACCGGAAGCAGAAATGGCTCAGTGCAGGGAAGATCAAGCCCAAACTTGTCAAGTGTTTATACACAGACTGACAAGCATCGGCACCTTCTGACCATGTAACACGCTGACTGGCCTTGTGACTGGGATGCTTTGGCATTTACAGAATTGCTCATCTAGCTCAAGCAAGTACAGAGGCAGGCATTTCAGTTCCTACCAACTTCTGTGAGGAAATGGTATGCTTTCAGCTTTTTAGACATTACACATTTAAGGGCAAACATTTGGCCAGAACCCAGAATCTCTCACTAGGGACAAACAGCAGTTTGAGGTATGCAATATATCGGGACTCCTGCTCTCCTGAGGCCATCTTTTCTTCCTCATAGGCAGATTTTACTCCTCCTCACTCACCCCATTGTGTTGAAGTCATCATCAGGAGGCACATAGTCTTCATCATCACTGGTCAGACCCAGCTCGTTCCCATAACACTGGTGGACAAAGTGCCAGAGCTCCTTTGGACAGAGAGGCTAAAAGAGGGAACAGAGAACAGCATACACTTTCACTTGAGAACGCTAAAATATAATGAATTTTTGGAACTACCATTGTCAGGAGTATTACATTCCTCGCCCTGAAAGGAGAAGCGAGAGATTCTGACACAGCCCCTGATGGGAGGTGAGAGCCTTCCGACGGGCTCACCTCTTCTGAATTCCAGTGATGCTACAAGGTGCATTGTATGTTACTGGCAGGCTGGCCCAGCTCCATGCTGGCTAAGGACTGCAATCATATGTATCCTTATATTGGTAGGCCAAGCTGGCTTAGAGATTGTCCCCATCAAGCAATAAGAGGCCCTTTCTCCAAGTAAGCCTTCACCATCAGCCCAGGTTCTGCCCTAAAATCTGACTTTGTTATTTTTCCATGCCAGAATCTCATGTTACTTAAGACTATCAGAAAGCCAACATGAGGCTACACCCAGAGCAGCACACAAAATGAGACTTCCCGCTACTACAATGCTGTGCATGTAATAATGTAAGCAGTAAACCTGCATTTCCCTCCACACGTGTTTTCCCCGCCTCTTCTGCTGTGCCTCCATTTAATGTCTCCTACTATACCAAACCCCAACACCTTATGAGGGTTTTTCCCTCCAAGCTTGTTTAAATTAAAGCTGCCTGAAGAATTACAGCTGCAGGGAAAACGATCTAAAACAGCGACAAAGAAAAACATTTCCTGTTGCAGTTTAAAATCACAAAGTTTGTCTCACCAGATACTATTGTGAAAAGCTTGTATATACTTCCAGTTAAAAGAGAAAATGAATTATGAAGACCGTTCACAAAAGCCCAGCCTTTTAGGGATGCAGGTCAGCTGATGATCATATGACTGCGTTCTGAGGTTCTTAGGAAATGGGGCAGGAGAACTTGTGATTTAAACATGTGGTACAGGGATGAAAGGGGATGGATTTTTACCCATGAGAAATTTATGACCAATGACAAGGATTTCTTGGTAATGAGGGGTGGGTGGGTGGGAGGAAACCTAGTGAACTTTTTCTGAGTTGCTGGCTTGAACTTCTTCCCATAGTTCCTGCATGGGATAAGGCAGGAAATTTTTAATCTAGCTCCCAAAAGTAGCAATCAAAAGCATGGGGGAAAACCTCTAATGAGAAACTTTTATCCAGAAAATGCCTAACTCTGTTTCACCTTCTTACCACATGCACTCTAATTCGCGTCTTATCAGGAAAAATGGACTAGGTTCTTTCTCCCTCTCTCCTGCTGGGCATGGATCCTACACTTGGAAAAAGAGCTCTGGAAGTGTTTCCTGTCTTTATCACTCACATGTCTCAGTTCCCGTTTGCTTTGACCTTGAAACCAAGGGCACTGAATTTTGTTAGGGAATTCAAAAGGCTGATCAAATTACAACATATGGTAGCAACACAAGCTGCCCAATGCAAAGCGATCCTTTTGCATACTAAATACCACCCCGATTTTCAGGACAGGGTATTCTGGGTACTTGACTACTTGAGCCTTCCAGAATGTTATGAACTCAAGCCAGAACATCTCGAAATGCTGGTAGCGCTGTAACATCAGTTCACGAGTCTTGCTCCCGCAGTGAGGCCAGAAATACTCAATGGACTGTGGAACAGACACTCAGATCAAATATAGGATATATGGGACCTCTGGCATAGCAGGTGCACATCCCTGCTTTATTTTAAAATCCAACCCACTGAGGCCTTACCCAGTGCACCCCGCACTCACCATTGTTCTCGTTTGGTTTTGGGATGCCCTGAACACATCCTCTTTTTCTGTCCTACCTTGAACTCTACACTTCTGAAGCACAGACTTACCAAGAGCTTTGCCTGTGCAGTGACCTATTTCTGTTGCATTTTGAACTGCTTTCTTCTGGGCTGTTTCACTTGAATTACAGACCTCAAAAAAACTCCTTCCTGAGACGCATGCTTCCACAGCTCAGCAGAGACAAAGTGGCATCTACTGTGTGTGCAAGACATGTCTGTACATCGACAGAATTCCATACAAAAAGAGAGAATTGCACCTGAAGTTATGTACCTGCTCTGCCTAAACACATGCTTACTGTCCCCCGCGTTTTATGCATATACGTTAGTCACAGGTATTATGCTTCTGCATATATTCATCCCACCCCAACATTGAGATGCTGGTCTCTGTACCTTGTCAAGGAGAGCATTCTGCCAGAGTCTGAACATCATCATGTACGTCCTGTCTCGAGCCCCAAAGGAAGTAAAAAAGTGCTGAATGGGAAGAGATGGAGAGAAAAATCAGTTCAGAAAAGGCCCAAAAAAGGGAAGAAGAAGAGACAAGCCAGTTCAGATCACTTTCCAGCTACAGTTCACAGAAGGACTGAGCAAGCCATACAGCACAGCTGCTCAGTTCTTGGGCACAGACTGAAGCTCATGGAGGCCTCACAGAGAGGCTGAGCGCCTCTCACCCACGGGAGCGAGTCTGAACATAGAAACAGTTCTGTTAGAGATGTGCTACTATATAACCCGGATCTTCTACCTGGCCCCACACCCACAAGCTATGTGTGTTCCAGACTCAGCCCAAGGTCTGCAGAAGCTCTGCACCCAGCCCTTTTCCCTTGATGCTTCCTCCCAGGCCCCAGGTAGCACAAGCAGTCAGTTTGGAAATATCCCACAACACACTTATATTCCCCTGCCCCTGACAGCCATAAGGGGTTGCCCCAGAGCTGGAGGCTTCAAGGATGTACCTTTTCAGTGTCAGTGCAAACTTGGATGGCATTAGGAATGAGCCGTGCTGTTTTTTCCTTGGTCATCGAGCAGATATCCTTCAAGCGAACTGTCAGCTACAGTCAGAGCCATGCAGAAAGGGGAAGGCAGAAAAAGAACACAGGTAAAGAGAGACACTGATGAGAAAGACAACAGAAAGAGTGCTTTTAAAGCAATGTCAGCAAACATGCTGACATAAAACACATGCTCAATGCGGCAGACTGACAGCCTTACCAGTGTCTCCCAACGGAAAATGTTGCTGTAAAAGCAGATCCAGTTTTCAGAGAGGTAGAGGCGGCCCTGCAGCAGAATGTCTCTTTGTAGCGCACATGAGTAATCTGTGGGTGGACAACAGATGATAATTTAGGAGCACCAAAACCAGAAAACAGGACAGCCTAAAGGTAAGGATAAGCAGCAGTGGCAAGAGAAGCAGCTACTCGACACAATCTTGCAGAAAGTCAAAGGGAGAGCCAGAAGGAACCAAGCCACAGCTGCTGCTCTGTCCACTAGGTTATGACTCCTCCCAAGGGTACGTCACAGACAATCTCTCTTACTGACTGATGATCTTGCCTTATTAGCTGGTCATTCTGTAGCATCCTATGTACTATTTCCAGATCTTAATCTGCCTTTTCCTTTTCGCCTTCTAGTGCCATTGCTCATTTCTCTCCCAGTTAAGCATCCTAAACAATTTCTATTCCTCTACTAGGATGTGCATCTTTCAACAGTGTGAGACACGGTACGAGATCACCAGTTACGTAAGATAAAAGAACAGATGCAATGTACTAGGCAGTCGCTAATCAGCTAAATGGATATGGGAAGGGCAGTCATGTGTGAGTAGGGATCATCGGGGATGTTAGAAAAAAAGGGAAGCTCAGTGGTATGTGCATGTTGAGACATGCAACCCTGACCAAATGAGGAAAGAGCTCAAACACTAACACACTGTCAGGTTTGGGGGAGCACTGTGGAGGAAAACATGCTCCTCAAATCATGAGGGAACAGAGCCGTAGCTGATACAAATCAGCGTTGCTCTCCCCGAAGCAAAACGAATGAAACCCATTAGAAATGGTGAGGAGGGGTTCCGCCTGCGCACAAGAAAGACACAACGGGCTTGTTCCTTGGTGGCAATCTCTTTGAAGAAGCAGCAGCTGCATGCATGTGTGCTGGATTTCCTCCCCAAACCATGGGCCAGCACAACAGGGCACTGCACCAAGGGTATGACCTTACCTACAATGAGGCGCTCCGTGTCAGGAAGCTGTTTGAAGAGTTTCCTGAAATCTTCATTCCGTTGTTTATATGTTGGACTCAATACCTGCAAATAACAGAGTGCCTGTTAAAGAGAGGGGCAGGCATGAGTACAGAGAAATGGAGTGGGAAAACAGGAACACCTTGGTAAGGAGAAGGGGGATCAGATGCACTTACAAAGCATGAGGCTAGGAGCTCCCATCACAGCAGACACACAGATGGGAGGATTCGGGATTTAGTGCATTAAGTGAGAAGAAAAGGAGAACCTGACTTGGAAGAGCAAGAACAGAGTAGAAGAGCTATACCCATATCTGCTAGGTAGCAAAACGGAATTGCATGGAAGCCGTGGCTACAGAAGAAATCTCTTTTCCTGCAGTCCTAGACTGTACAAGGTATGACACATTCTCTGTTTGCAATGCATCAGTTAGCTGCCAATCCCCAGCTCGCCCAGGAAAATAGGTGCTTTAGTACAGCTGCAGCCCTTCCAGAGGAACTTGAACGATCACTGTCATCAGGAGCTCGGGAATAATGCAGTCATCCCCGTTCCTCTCCCCATCAAGTGCTCCACCTGGCAGCGAGTGAACACACAACTATCTGCTGCTGCTCCACCTGGCAGTCAGTGAACACATAACCCCCACTTTTGTGGGGCTCAGAAGAGGCTCTCACAGGGACTCAACCATGTTTTGCGCTTATTCTGCAGACACTTGGCTTCATGGAAGGCCTCAGAGAAAACAGTGCTGTTGGCCGGAAGGAGACCAGGAGCTGGCTTCTCTCTGGTGTTTACTAAACTAGAACATGACTCTGCCCATGTTAGACCACCTCCTACACACCATGCCCATGCTGACAGCTGCTCATATTAGCCAGAACATCTTTTGAAGGCAGAGTTGACCGAAATAGAGGCAGGTGCAAATTCAGGAGGCCCGTAACTCCCGTCTAATCTATCATGTTCTTTCTCCCACAAATGTAGGGAAGATGAAGCAACCTGGGGTACAACCTCTTCCCTCCCTATCTCCATTTCCTCTCAACAACCCTCTCCTACCTCTTCCAGCTGCACAATACGTGTCTCCCAAAGCAGAAAGGTGGGCACACCTCAGAGCCTCCCAGCAAGGGCCACAGAAATCAAAGTGATTATAGAAGATAGCTTCTGTTTGAGAATGGTGTTGATGGGGTCGCAGGGGTGGGAGGAATATGAAGTTTATTTAGCATTAGCCTTACAAAATTGTGAAATGCTGTCAAATCAAAGAAGGAAACACAGACAAGCCCCCATCCCCCCAAAAGCATTCGCTCTTCCTCACACCAATTCAACGAACTAGGAACAGTATTTTTTAACATCAAGTCAGCACTTCAGATATTTGCTCCAGTCCTGTGGGCCCAAAGGAAAGTATCTTACTTCTGAATAAAAACTGCTAACCAGCAGATGACAGAAATATGAATTTTACTTACCAAACTTCTAGCCTGAACATCTGGAAAAGATCTTGGTCAGCGATGGGCTCCAGCAAGAGCCCAAGCCCAAGACTTTCTGGGACAAGCAGACAGGATGGGAAAGGAGGGGGGAATAGAGATTATAATCAGCTCTGAGCTTTGGGTGCAATGCATTACAGCAACCCAACTTAGCAGTACAGTTGCCATGTGGAGGGGCGCTCCCCTCCCTTCCCCACAGTAAGGGATGTTCTGACCTAAAACCTGTACTACAACAGACGCTTCTGCTTAGCACCAGAACTTGTGTTAGACTGACAAACAGTTCCATTTAGGGACACTCACAGCTGGAATTTCATCTGATCCACGGCTGACATTTTCTTGCGGTAAGTCGACAAGCCCCTCCAGGTCCCACAGCAGACATGGCAGTTCTTGATCCAGCACAAGATCCCAGAGCGCCCCACACTCCAGCAAGGAATCCATAGCGTTTCCTCGGCACTTGCACAGCTCCCTGTGTTCTCAAACTCTGCTTTTCCTGTTCCTGCTGTCACCACTTCTTGTTTAGATTCAAAGTCAAAAGAGATACAGCAGCTTGGCAGGAGTTTACGTGCCTTCCCCTACTTTCCTGCTCACATTCAGGTCGTCTGCCCTAGTGGCCTCTGTAGATCTGAGAGAGGATTTGCCCTCCAGAGGACTTTGAAAAAGTGGCTCATTAGGGTAAGCGTGCTGACGGGCAACCTTTGTGCTCTTCTGCTCCAGTCTCACCAGCTTCTTGCTGCGGGCATCCCTTAAAGAAGCACTGCAAAAGTGCCGACAGCCTGAGCAGTCCCAGGCAGGTCTGTGCAAGGCATCTGCAACTCCCGACTGAGGCCCGATGCCCAGGACTGCCAGAGCTAGCAACTGAAATAGCTCCGACCGCCAGGAGCCCACCAGACCAGCTGTAATTCACAGATCTAGCCACAGTTTCCAGGACTGAACAGGACAGTAAAGCTCAGAGAGACTTCAGCTGCTTCCCCCCCCCCGCCTTTTAAACCAGAAAAGCAGTTATTCCTTCAGTGCCTGCCTCAGGCTCTCCTCTCTAGTCCCTCTCTGCTCTGAAAGGCAGCTTCAGTCTTTGTTAATGTTAACTCCCGACTGAGGACCGATGCCCAGGACTGCCAGAGCTAGCAACTGAAATAGCTCCGACCGCCAGGAGCCCACCAGACCAGCTGTAATTCACAGATCTAGCCGCAGTTTCCAGGACTGAACAGGACAGTAAACAGCTCAGAGACTTCAGCTGCTTCCCCCCCCCCGCCTTTTAAACCAGAAAAGCAGTTATTCCTTCAGTGCCTGCCTCAGGCTCTCCTCTCTAGTCCCTCTCTGCTCTGAAAGGCAGCTTCAGTCTTTGTTAATGTTTCTCATGGAAGGAGCGGGTGGGGAAGATACCAAACTGACTCGCACATGCTTTAAGTTACTGTGGCTGCGTAATTCTGTCGGCCAATGTCCTGCAGTAACCCAGGCTCAGCCCTGCCTCCCAGCAGATGTTTCCTGTAATGGAAAGTTGCTGGACAGAGTGTGTTGGGGGAGGCGCGAGGGGAGTAAGGAGAGACCAGTCTAAAGAATATAGCTATGAGAAATCAGCCATGCGAGACCCACACAGTTAGAAATCTTAAGGGCTCCTCTACTCCTATATGTATCTCTGAGACCCCCAAAAAGCATAGGTCTTTCTAGTTTTCATTCATTAGTCAGGTCACTCTGGAAATGAAGGGCAAGGGCTTCCTTCAGGGTCCAGCAAATGAACTCCCTGCAGGTCCCAGGAGGATTGCTTGGAGCACTGGAACTCCCTGTATCCCTCTGCCCTTAGTCCCCTGCCTCTCCATCTCTCTGCTCAAGTGTAGAAATGCACATGTAAACGTCCACACCACGACACCAGTGCTGCTCAGCCATGATGCTGAGTCTGTGAAAACAAGTATACTGAAGTAAAATCCTCATTCTTCCTAACAAACTGGGCACATAGATCTCAAAAAACAAAACAAAACAAAAAAAAAACCCAACCAAGCAACCAACCAACCAAGTGTCTGCAAAGCCGCTGTTTCATTCCAGGGCCAGTGACTGCAGTTTGCTCACTGACAGGAAGAAGTGACAAGCGCTCTGTCTGCTCAGATGCACCACAAAAGCATTGCTGGTGCTAGACAGCACACAGGTCTCTCCGTTTAGCCCTGTTAGAAGGAAGCAGTACATCCATCTGCAAAGAATTAGGATTACAGACATCTGCGAGGTAGCTGCATTGCTTTACTGAATGGCCCTCTTTGCTGGAAACTGCTTATGGGATTACTTCAAAAAAAAAAAAATCACCAGGACGCTTCTGTCTACACACCCACCCACCTCCCTTTGCAGAGATGAATGGCACAAGTGATCGGAAGAGCTAACCCGGAGGTGGAGACAGCAAACATTAACTCTACTGCAAACAGAGAGAGACGGGACGGGATGGCACTGCAAAGGGTGGAGAGAAGAGGCTCGGTGGGGGAAATGGAGAGAAAAGGGTGACTCCCCATGGTAGGATCTCCCTGTTAATACACAAACAAATCCTCTGGCAGGAAATTTAAAGCAACTGTTTCTGGGGGATGGGACAGGACAGGGAAGTCTGACAAAGGTATAGTCTTGTACAGCACACAGCACAGAAAACAGGTGAGGAGGAGAGATGGCAATGGCAAGAGGCAGAGAGAAAAGGGGGAAGGTAAATCTTATCCAATTTGCATGACTGATGGACTTGCTCTTAACTCTTTAGGGAAGATTTATATTCCTTCTGGACAGAACAGGAAAACTACTGGAAAAGAACAGAATACATTCCCTGCTTGTGTGGGAGAGCTTAGACCCCACTGACAGCAGGACTGCTATGCTGATTAATGCCAGCAAAGAAACTGGCCACCTGTCCAACAGCATTTCTTCCAAACCCAGTCTGGTCCCTTGGGTTTTCTTACTCTTTTTTTTTTTTCTTCTTTTAAAAGTGAATGAACAGCAGAGGAAGAAGCTTCAGAGTAATTACTGGCCATTTGGGGTGGAAAGTGGATGTGAATTCATCATCACATGAGCTTGCACCAAAAGCTAACTTCTAATTTAGTGCCTCTACACCACAGTAACTGTGCCAGGCCTGGTAATCCATACACCCAAAATCATGGAAAATCTGAAGGGAATTGCCTATGAAAAATACCTGAAAGACAATGAGTTAACATTGCTCCAGAAGTAGTTTGACAAAATGGTTACTGGATCTTAAAAGATGATTGCACTGATTTACAGAGAAAAAGGCTGTTTGTGTTCAACACCTTGCTAAATCATCATCAAGCCTGGATTTTTGCAATAAACCCCGTTTACATGATTGCTGTTGCCAAGTCAGACTCAGGCTGCCACCCGTTGGAAAGCTGTTTCTGATGTTTTCCCTAAAATGATGCATAATTTCTCTCTGTCTTTATAGGGAACATTTTACTCTTTCCAACAGCTGAGTTTCCCCCTCCACTCTGCTATCTACGAGGAGGGTACTGCAAGAAAAAAAGACAGCACACCAAGACCAGCAAAGGCTGATTTCTTATGGTGTTCAGTCATAATCACTTGACATTGTTCTTAAGAAGCTGCAAGTGCTGCTCAAAGGTCTCCACAAAGAAAGGACCTTCACAGCATCACAGTCCACCATGGATTCTCAGCCACCTCCTAACTCCTAGCGCACAGGCTTTTGCCGCAGTTTTCCCAAAGGAAAACCTAAGGCTCTCTCCTTCACATGGCTACCTAGTTGCATTTGACTTGATTTATTTTTGAGACTTTCACCTCTTGCAAGACAGGCTAAAAATTGCCCTGTGTGCACAGCACTTGTTTGCAGAACTGCAGGTGCAGGGCTCCTGTCTCACCCTGTGCAATCCTCACTGCAGACTTTGCTCTGCCAAAGACAAGTGGGTGGAACTGTGCTCCTGTTGATCTTTTCAGACTTACTAGGACAGCAAATGTTTCTAGCAGTATTTAAGAACACCTGAAAGAGACAATTAGTGTCTTTTCACTGTAATTTTTTTTCCCCCCACTAACCACTCTGGGGCTATCCTGCACATGGGTGAAGAGGGGGTGGTTCAGGTCAGTTATAGGGAGAAGCTGTAAGAAGAAAAAAAATTCAAGCATGGTTGCAAAATAGAATGCAGGTGAAAGGAACGTACGTAGATAAACACAAAGGAAAGGAGTACAGAGTGAGGCAGACCTTGGGATCTAAATAGTAAACTGAAAACCTCATGGACAGATACAAATCTCACCTCTTCACTGGTATCAACTGTGTTTGCTCTAACTCTTCAAGATCATCTTACTCTCTTTTCCAGGAGTATGCTCTGCAGATTCTCCTGATGCCTGGTGTCTACCAGCACAGGGACTACAGGAGGCCATTTACAGAAGCAAGCCTTGCTATAGAGTGGCAGCTAGAAACGCTGCAGAAAATTGGAGACATACAGCCTAATTTAGGAACAGTCAGGGAAGTAGAAGGATCAACAGTCCAACTGAGAGAGAAGTAGACAGAAAAAAACATGTCAGACTTGCTCGGCTCAGTGCCTCAAGTGTACACTGACCTCAAGACACAAGAACTGAGAGCTCCTCCATGCTTGGAAATGGGGTCCTTCACCCAAAGCCCAGAGAGAAGAAGAACAAAGGAGATATTTTGCTGCCGGAGTAAAAGCTATCTCCAGTTTGTCTCTAATTTTAATGATGTCTGCTGGGTGACAAATTCCTTCTACCAACTTGTGGAGTTCCTGCCACCCCCACAGCCAGTGCGACCTTGTCCTTCATGTCATCAGGGAAGTGAAACACAAATTTCCCACCTCTCTAAGCACATCAGGTCTACAGAGTAAGTCACATCCCTGTTTCAGTAAACAAAAATACAGAGAAAATTTGTTTTTGAGCTCTATTCTTTTAAAAAACAAAATTATTTTAAAACTAATAAATCAATTAACAATAACTCAACATGCAGACACACAAGTCCAAAGCAGACACACACAAACTGCATCCTGATGGCTAAGCATAGACGGGTGGGACCTAAACCACAGCTGACCAACAAACTGAGTTTCACTCCATAAGAATAACAGGTCTTCCAAACGACAGTCTCCATGTCTGCAGTTCCTCACTAAAGGCATGAGAAACACCTCAGCGACTTTTTCTTTCCGCTGCTAGTGAACTCAACCAGCTCAGTGATGGTCTGCTCTTCCACCATGAGGACATGAACACAAAGCAAACCTCGTAAGGTTGAGTATTCTCAAACTGGTGTTCTTTTCTAAATCTCACAATGCACCTGGACCAGTTTGCATTTGTCCTCTGGAAAGCAAAGCAGAGAAAGCACACCAAGACCAAGAAAGGGCAGCTCTGCCAAACCAACCCATGACCTTGGTTCACCCCTTTTCTCCCACTTCTCAATCTGGTAGGGATGTCAATCCCAAAAAGCACGTCTAGGATCAAAAGGAGAACACACAAGGCAAGAGAAGTTGGTAGCATCTTAAGGAAAAAGTAGAGAAAAAAGGAATCCAGGAGAGGGAAAAGGAAGGGTTCCAACTGGCAAAGAGGGATACAGTGCTACAAGGACAAAAAGACCAGTTAAAAGCAGCAAAAACTGAAGTCATCTTAGAAAACTAGCATTCTGACCACCGATGCTCTGGGGATCTTTGAAGACCGTATGCTCTTTGAGGCAAGGACTATATTTTTTGGTTTGTGTTTGTACAGTGCGTGGCAGCCGGGGCTGCTGAACTGGCACAAAGAACAATGTGAAGGGTGTTTGCTCTGAGCATAGTGAAGTCTACGTAAAATGAAAGTGGAGGAAAGCGAGTAAAGGAAGTTGTAAGGTTTTGTGAAGGGGTAGCCTCCACAGATTCATTTCTAGAGCTGCTCTCAGTGGGGAAAGGAATTGAAGAATCAGAATGGTCCAAATGCCAGAAAAATCCTACCTGGAAGGAGTTAGCAAAGAAGGGAAACTATATCAAGGAGATGCATTAGCAAATTTTTAATGGTAATAATACTGCCAAGTAGGATTGACTGCCTTCCTGGAGTTTGCAGCCCATCCGTATTTCCACATTGCTGCTTTTATCTGGCCAGAATGTCTCTACTCACTAGAACATGGTTTGGTTTTGTTTTGTTTTCTAATGGAAAATAATTGTGGGGAAACCACAAAAAATGCAGCTGGTGCTTACTCTCCGGATGTACTGTCTCTCATGCTGAAAATATATGGAGAAAAAACAAGAGAACAGAAAAATAAGATAGAGGGGACATGAAAACACAAGAGACCCACAGAAGCAGACCACAGCAAAGCATCATGCAGCAGGTTACGGATCTCAGCAGCTACAGTCAGAAGCAGCTCTTGCATAATAGCAAAAGTCACCTTTAGCCATGGCCACAGATTCACATTTTTGCAGCAGCCTGGTTGGGCCTGTGCATCTGCCCAAACTGCCTCACTCCACGTTCCTTTATCTGCCACTTCTCCACCAGTTTGGCCTACCGTGGTTTATACTTCATTCTTAATGCCGTTGCCTCTATGCTTCTCCCTGCTTGTACAGCAAGTAAATAAGTCTGCCTCTCATGCCTCTGTGAAATCTGACCACACTGTATCAGCCAAAATCACTGGTTCTAATGTCTTACGCTGCAGGAAGGTAGGAACTGTTGCTGAACATGGAATGGCTGCTGCATTTGCCTACAAAATCACGGTACTGCTGGTATCTACTTTAGAGTGCTCGAGGGGTGGGGGTTCAACCATGCAAAAGTGACACCGATTGTGGAAATTTGCACAACACCAGCTTTGTACTGAAAACACTGCCACTCGTGCTTACGGAACGAAAATAAGATCAAGGCAGAAGCAAAAGATGGTTTGTGTTTCCATGAGGTCAATAGAAAATAATTCCTCTCTCGCCCCACACCACCCTGAGAGATGCAAAGGGTTTGCACGGTGGCAGCTCTGTTTGTCACCACATCAAGACCAACTCTCCTGGGAAACCGGAAGGTACAGGATGTGGAGATCATCAGAAGAGTGACTGAAAAGACAAAGCTTTTGCTCTCTATCTCTGGCATCCTTTCCCTCAGGATGTCAGTCTTCCTTTGCCAGTTCTGAGCCATTTCCACTTCCTCTTTTTAGAAATGGTCAGTATGCCCCAGTGCCACTGCAAAGCCCCTTTGCACCTTCCCCCCCACCCAGGTACCCAGCCCATATTCACCCAGGGACAAGAGAAACTGGAGTACTTACATTATACCAACTCTGGCTTTTCTGTAAGGACAAAATAAAAGAGAAGCATTAGTTAGCACAGAGATCTTAGGATCAAAAAGAAAGATGGACAGAGAAACCAGGTCCAATCTGGTTTGTATAATTAGCGAAGTGAAAGTGGGATTAAACGGAAGATTTCAATGGATTTCACAGTGTGGTCTAACACAGTTATTTCCAGTTACAGGAACAAAGAACAAATCCAGAAGCATGAGTCCATAATAGGAAACAATTCAGGCTAATGTGTGCATGTCCACATGCACACACACACACAAACTCACGCGCGCATGCTGTAATGATTTTTGCAGAACAGCAGCGCCCACTAACAACGAAGGAGCTAATCATAATCATTGCCAGCCATTTCTTTCAGAGGCTTCATTCTTCTACATCTGCTGGCTAGGTTGCAAAAATCACATTGCATTGAATGGACCCTGTGCAAATAAGCCCTCAAAGAACTACCAGGAGGCAGGGACACAATTTTACTCACAAAAGCCATCAGGCAAAACTTCCAATAGTATTTCAAATTTTAAAAGGGAGACACATACAGAGCCAGGAAAACTGCTGAAGAAAATCGCTAGAAAAGCTAAACAAAAACAAACAAACAAAAAAGCTGGCAGGTTTGGGGCCCC